ATCTTTAGAGTATCTCCAACAAAGCTTCTTCGTGAGTATTTACAAAAATATAAAATATAAAATATTAATAAAATAATAATAAAAATTTTCACTAAAATAATAAAATTTTCTTTATAAACCCACTTCAAAATTTTTTCATGTAGAATTTTTTTGGGTGAGTTTCTTTAATAGTGAAAAAAACTCTTATTATTTTATCAATGTTTTATATTTTATAATTTTTGGAGAAACCCATGTAGAAACGAGCTCTTAGTTATAAAATATGTTTTATACTGCATTAAAAACAAACAAATCACACAGACAAGCTTGTACCAGCTCTTTAGCAAAGACTACTCTCTGTCTAATGACTCCTTGTTCTTAATTTCAGAGCTGAGGCAAGACCAATCGAAAGGAGGAATCGCATAAGGTCCATTTAGTAATCCATCAGCTAACAATCTGTATGCAGCCTCTGTCAAATGAACATTATCCCAATTCACATACTTTGAAGGATCACTACAACACTCCACTACTTCAATGCCACATCGCATACCGACCGTGTAGTTGTACGTTCCTCCTACGCCGCAACAAGCAGGCAACGGTCTGTTGATAAACCCTGATCATTGGATAACTAACTCAGTTAGTGAATCGAATCAAATGACTTTGGCTGAGTAAATGGATCAAGAAGACTAACCGAACTTGGTTGGTTCTTGGAAAATCCGTAACATCGCGTTGTAGTAGTCACCGTATATGATGTTGACATGAGGGTAAAGCTTATGGAGTCTTTTGAGCTCTGCTTGAAGCTGCTCACTGTGGTATTCTCCAAACTTGTTCAGCCATGTCAAACATCCTGTTAGAGGATCGTATTCTTCCATGTTTGATGTTTTATATAATGTCAAATAGGCTACTGAGCATCCAAGTGGGAACTCTCCGGGCACCAGAAATGTTCTACCTCCCATACCGATCAACTCCTGCGCTTTCGATATTCAGTCCCAAAAACACACAATAAAGTTTCTGCTTTTATTGTTCCCTGGATAGGCAGATCAAGAATTTGACGAGGATTATCGTGATTGCAGAAGAGATAGTAGTGATAACCAGTGGAACTAGCTCTTTGATCTCTTCAACGCTTTTGCCAACAAAGAATGCGTAATTATAGTCGTTGCCTCCAATTTCTCCCATGAGAATCAAAGCATTTTCAATCATATCTCTGCAGTCTAAAACAAGATTACAAAGTAAAACCACTATTCATTGCATCATTGAGTCTAACATAAACGAGTAGTATCTGTAAGCACAACCCAAAACAGAATGTCAAATTTTCTTTCTTTGTGGTGACTGTCTACTTCTAAACCAAAGTAGAGTATAGGCCTGCTACTAGCTACAACCTTCAAAAACTTGATCAACTCTAGTGGGAGATTAATTATTGAAGAATAAGCTATCAAATTTGATATTATGATTATATAAAACAGGAAACACCAAAAAGGATTGTTCTTCCCCCTACCTGAAGAAGAGCCATATAACTTAGGCAAACTCTCTTTGAAGCTCTTAAGTTGAACATCTAAACTGACACTGGTGTAAGGAAAATAAATTCCTCTGTCTTCAAGAAAGGATTGTTCCAGTGCTGTTGCTCCCCCGACCGCGAAATTAACTCCCTTTACAAAGTTTGCACTTTGAGATCCATAAAAAGGAGGAACAAGCGGTAAACCCAAGAATTCAGCTGTGAATAGAACCAAAGAAAGAGAGCATGAGTGGAAACAAAGTTTTTTTTTGTTTGTATTTAAATGTTTTCAGGTTTTATAGACCTTAAGAGATTTTAAATTTAACAACAAATTACATAATTTGTGGGCAAAATTACTACAACAACTTTGAAAAATGCTTTAATTACTAAAACAACTTTTTGAAAAGAGAGAAATATCATAAAGAGGATAAAAGACTTATAAACCTTTCATTTTCTCTT